CCCATTTGGCATGTCTACAAGTCTTAGTCAAATATGAACATCACTGCTAAAAGTAGAAAACAAATGACTTAGGTTTCAGATGTGCACTGTTGCTAATTATTGAATGATCATTCAAATAGACATTTCAACTGGAAATATGACAATTGATTTTATTAAAAATTACAAGAGAATGGGAAAATGGGGCAGATTTAATTGGTGGGTAGGAGGGAGGTCAATACAGAAAGAGAGGAAGGAAGGATAAATAACACTGAGGATGTGTGAAAAGGCTTTAAGGAGTCATGTTATTGGATGTTTGTCTCAAATTACATACAATACATATATGTATGTACCTATTTTTCTTCAATAAATGTGCTGGATAGTTTTATGTCAATCTGACACAAGTTTAAGTCATCTGAAAGGACAAAACCTCAACTGAGAAAATGCCTCCATAGACAGCTCCTGTTCCCACTGTTAGGAGTCCCACAGGAGACCAAACTACACGACTAAAACATATATGCAGACTGTCTAGATTAGTCTAATGCAGGCTTCCTGGTTGTCGGTTCAGTCTCTGTGAAATCCTATGAGCCCAGGTTAGTAGATTCTGTGAGTTTTGTTGTAGTGTCCTTGACCCCTCTGGCTCTTACAGTTCCTTTTCTCCTCATTCTATAGGGTTCTGTGAACTCTGCCTGATGCTTGGCTGCGGGTCTGCACCTGTGTCCATCCATTGCTGGGTTTTGGGAACCCATTCCTCATACTGAGTCGCCTTGCCCACCCTTACTACTCTGGAGGTGCTTAGTCTTACTGCAACTTGATATGCAATGTTTTACTGATACTCATGGGAGACCTTCCCTTTTCTAAACAGAAATGGAGGAGATATGAATTGGGGGGTAGGAAAAGGGGACGGGGTAGGGGAAAGGACTTGGAGGAGAGGAGGGAGGGAAAACTTCAGTCAGAATTTAAAATAAATAAATAAATGCATTTAAAAAGAGAAAATGCTTCCATAAAATTGGGATGAAGCAAGCCTGTAAGGCATTTTTCTGAATCAGAGATTGTGGGGAGGGCTCAGCTCATTGTGGGTGGTGCCATCCCTGGGCTGGTGGTCCTGGGTCTGTAAGGAAGCAGGCTGAGAAAGCCATGATGAGTAAACAAATACCCAGCTCCACTCCATGGCCTTGGCATCAGCTCCTGCCTCTAGGTTCTAGTCCTGTTTGTGTTCCTGTTCTGGCTTCCTTCAAAGATGGACAGCAATGTGAAAATGTAACCCAAATAAACTCTTTCTTGTCTAAGTTGCTTGTGATCATGGTGTTTTATCATAGCAATAGTAACCCTAAGACAGTTAAGTCAAGTCATTTTAGGTGGTAATATTCCTCTTGAGAACCATAGAGCATCTAACCAAAAAAACCAAGCACCAGGCATGATAAATCTTCTTCTGAATTGTAGGTTAGGGGATTACAAGAGACTCCCCAAACAATATAGCCTCTTGCTGTTGCCCTTGGTTGCCTTCCAGAAATTGAAAGTAAGTCCTTATTACTGAAAACACCAAGCCTACCCAAGAGACCACTTTCTTGGTCCTCATGTGGCTATTCAATCCCCACATTGGATGCCTTATGTAGTGGATTTTTGTGTGGGCTGCCAGCTCACAAATAATGACATGGAGACTTCTTATTAATTATGAAACCTCACCCGATAGCTTAGGTATATTTCTAACTAGCTCTTAAAACTTAAACTAACCTGTATAAATATATTCTATCATGTGGTATTACTTCTCTTCCATCTTGTACTTTCTGTTTGAGTCTCCTGGCATCTTTTACGAGCCAAGTTTCCTCCTTCTCTCTTTTGTCTCTCAGGAAATCCCAACTATACCTCCTGTGTAGCTATCGGCCATTCAGCTTTTTATATACCATTTAGCTTTTTATGTACCAATCACAGCAATACATCTTCGCACAGTGTACAAATGTCCCTCAACATATATACTATTTAAAAGATATAGCTATAAAAAATCATGTGAATAATAAAATAATTATACCTTAAATCTTCAAAAGAGCTTCCTTGCCTTTTAAAAATTATCTAAGTTAAATTTTTTATTTCAGTTTTAATTGAAATGCAATTATATCTTTCTCCCTTTTGCCTTTCCTTCTTCCAACCTCTCCCAAGACCCCTTCACAACCTGTAAAATTAATGGCCTCTTTTCTTTAATTACTATTGCCACATAGGTATAAGCACATACATTTTTAGCTAAGTTTGTCGTGTGTGTGTGTGTGTGTGTGTGTGTGTGTGTGTGTGTGTGTGTGATTTCAGACTGACTACTTGGTATTGAATAATCAGTTAGGATTTCAGCCCTGCTGAAGAAGACTCATTCTCCCTCTGTCATCAGTCTTTAGTTTCTTTGGTTTGGTTTGGTTTAGTGTAGTTTGGCAAAGTCTCTAGTTCTTTATCTAGCAGTGAGATTCCCCCTTGTACATTAGCATGTCTATTGGTGTTATCACCATGCAGGTCCTATTTAGACAACCATGCTGTTAAGGTACCATAGGTGAAGTAACACTTTCATTTCTAGGAGACATGATCTCACAGCTAGCTCTCCCAGGACTTGACCATTATTCCAGTTTTCTCAGGGTTCTCTAAAGATGCTGTTGCCTCCCTCCCCAGACAACAAGAGGTAGTATAGAGCAAACAATGCCTATATTTCCAAGAGGTGGAGTGGGTAGTTTTGGTCATTCGATTGATTATGGATGTTTAACATAATTTAGGGGGGTTTGTTGCAAGTTGTTGTTGGTCATGGTCAGGGAGAAGAACTGAACAAAGGAAATTAGATTCAGGGACCTCTTTCTGAAGGAAAAAGGGAGATAGAGAATGATGGGATAAAAAGGTGAACTGTTGAGTCTACTTTTGAATAACCACCAGTCTCAAATATTTTACATTGGTATGGATTTTTATATATTGATACAAATTTAAGGTTAATTATGTTATACTGTATATATGTTTCTATTCTTGTTTAAGGTATGGTACCTATGCAACTCACTTAAAAATAAAGTTATAGTCCTTGAAAGCTATTTAGGATAATTAAGAAATACATGTTAGTAGTTAGTCATTTACAATAATCAAACTTGAGGTCATGTTAGATATGTTTTCAAGATTAAACAGAGATGTATTTTACACAGATAGGTGGTCTTCAAACACTTCAGAGACCTACAGAATATGACATTTAAGATGTTTTAATATCATAAGGATTTTCGTGACAGTAAGATATATCTGATCCTAACAGCACCAATTTACTTCAAAAAAGTGTAATGGGCATCAAAGTACCTGCATATGGAGTTTGCTTTCAATGTGGCAAAGCTAGCCATTTAGGCAAGAACTTGCCCTTGCCTTGACTACTGACAGTATGCTGTCCAAACTAGATAAGCGGGACACAAAAGAAAGCAACAGCCAAATTTTTTCCGATACAAGGTAGGACAGTCCTTCAAAGTTCCTGCTTCACAGAAAAGTCTACCAGAGAGTCTAGGCCTGTAGTTTGATGATGAATACCCCAACATTGCAGAGGAACCTTGGGTGACTGTCCAGATAGCCAGATATCTCTGTTGTTTCTATAGTTTTGGAAGTTGCTTGCTCTGCACTTCCTGTTTACTCAGGTAATTTTGTATCCTTCTTGGGTCTCTGGTGGGGATTGAAGACTAGATAGTATACAGTTTTCCTCATTATCTAATTCAGAAAAAAGCTTACATAAGAGATATAAAGTTTATAAGGTTGAGAAACACAAAAGCTTAAGTTGTTTATCTCAGAAAATGTTTTGAGGTCTAAAATGATAGTTTTAGGATGGTAATGCAAGTTATAATAGGAAATGGTTTAGGTATAAAACTTCAAATTCATCAAGGTAAGATAGACAATAGAGAATGTCCTCTGAATATGTCAAATACAAATGGACTGGACATTGTGAATATAATTCCAACTGATAACTGTTCTTATTGTATATAGTTTTACTATGGGATATTTGTTCACTGTGTGAAGCTGTATTGTTGTCGTTGGTGTAATAAAAAGCTGAATGGCCAACAGTTAGGTCAGAGGTGTAAGTGGGATGTTCAGGTGTAGAAAAGAGGGGAGGAATCTAGGCACTCGAGGGATGCCAGGAGACTCAGAGCGGAAACAGGAGATACAAGATGGAAGGGAGGTAATGCCACATGATAGAACATAGATTAATATAAATGAGTTAATTTAAGTTATAAGAGCTAGTTAGAAACAAGTCTAAGCTATAGGCTGAGATTTCATAATTAATAAGATGTCCCCATGTCATTATATGTGAGCTGGTGGCCCAAACAAAATTCTAACTACGTATATAACTTCATAAGAATGTAAAGTAATTCTATAATGAATGAATGAATGTACTATGTATGGGAGTAGCTTTTTACATTCAGACTACTAAATGTACTAAATGTAGAGCTAATGCTATTTCAATAACAATAGTTCAGTCTTTACAGCATTCTTGTATGGTAGACAGCTGCTGTTTCCATTTTATAAGTAAGGAAAGTAAATTGTGGGAAACTGAGTAAACTGACCACAAATAAAACCAAAAAACAAAAAACCAACCCCCCCAAAAAAAACAAAATCAAAAAACAAAAATACAGACTGCCAATATCCAAGTTAGGAATACTTTGGGGAAAAGATGGTATTTCTAACATAAGAAAATGACTAGCATTCCCTTTAAAAGTCATCAGTGACAAAAAGAATGCAGAGTTTGTGTTTTAACTCCTAGACAGCAAACAGGAGGTGTTTAAGGCTCCAGGCTTCAGGGTTAGCTTGGATGTCCAGTTCTCAGTAGATCACTTACTTCTCCACTTGCTAACCTGAGTGGGTGATGCAGCTGCTTTTCTAATGTGCAGGCAAAACAGCAGCCTTGCAACAGTGTCTCTTCTGTGGAATAGCCATGGGTGGAGCACTCGTACAGGGCCTTACCCAGGCTCAATAAAGCAAACGTGTCTTTCCTAGTACTGTGATTACAATAACTTCAAGAGACGTTGATTTCTTACCTGATGCCTGAGTTGAGCGAATACTCGCATAGAAATACAAGCAGCCATCCTTCAGAATGCAGTAGTGTTGGAGCCACACCCCGGAGTGTCTCTCCAGCTGATGTAGAAGGCCCAGACATTCAGGGCATTTGATAGCGAGGGGTGGGAGCCTGCTGTTGTGCAGTGTAACGTCTTCCCAGACGTGGATCTGTGGGTTAACACAGCGATGTGTAAGTAGTCATCGTGAACCAGGTGCCTTTGACCCTCCTCCCACAGAGCAGTGACATGGGGATAAGTCTGTTTGAGTTTAGGGAGCCACTGCTCCCTAATTTTTTATTGCTAATGTCATCTCACTGCTTGAGTCACAGTCAGGTTAGCCTTTGCCAATAGAATGCCCTCTTCTCTTTGGTTTCTATTGTATTCTGAATAAATCAAGAGTATTGCCAAAGAACAGGAGATTGGGAATAGAGAGCCGATGGGAATAGGTGCTGCAGCAAAGAGTTGCTAATGCCCCTGTCTGTAAAGTGCTGGCCCAATGTGGGCTTTCACATTGCATTGCCCTCCAAGGCTGGATTCTGGTATGTCCATCCTGAATAACAGCAGCCCCTGGTTCATGCCTCTCTTTATCCGAACCCCCACTTGTGCAAATTAAATGCTTCAGGCCTGCCCCAGCCTTGGGCTCTCACGGTCACTGATGTGGAAGGTTGATGATAAATGGAGACCCTCTAACCTGGAGGGCAGCCCTCAGTCCACGGGCCTGGGAAACAGGCTCTTTTCTGAGAACTCTGACCCGAGGCCAGGAGCACAGCGCTGTACCTCTTCATCAGAGCTGGCCTGTACTCACCAGTTTTTCTTTGTTTCATTTTGGTTTTGCCCTTTGGTTTTAGCGAGGCAGTGAAAAGATAGCAGAATACAGCGGTTGTGAAGTGGGAGCCTGCTGGGAGTTTGGCTGTCCATTTTTTCCCCTTGCTCAGACACTCTGAGTGCATTAGCAGAACAGATAGCTCTTGAAAGTATTCAGGTTCATTAGGGTGGTGCATGGAGAGATGGGTGAGTGTGCTGAGTGCTGTGTTCCAGGTGAAAGGAAACAAAAGCCCTACTGGTCACTATATATGTGACAACGCTGACGATTGTTCTCATTGAGCAGCTACAAGGCAGGGACATCCAAATGCCACTCTGAATTTCTGCCAATGCATAAACTCAAAGCATGTACAGAAGGCGCTGAGTGCATGCGGTCTCATGAAGGAAAGATCTTATTAGATAAAATCTGTAGCTTCATTAGAAACCATACCCAAGATGGGCGGGGGGTGTCATAATTATGCCTTTAATCCCAGCACTTGGGAGACAGACAGGAGACTCTCTGTGAGTTTGAGACCAACCCGGTCTACAGAGCAAGCTCCAAGACAACCTCCGAAGATACAGAGAAACCCTGTTTGTTTCAAAAAGAAACAAACACCCACCACCTCCAAAACAAGCAAACAAACAAACAAACAAAAAGAAATCACACCCACAGTGTAAAAATGAGACAGCTGGGCTTTAGGCGAAGGGCGTTAGGATGTGTTATGGCAGGAGCTTAGAAAGAGGGACAACCAGAACCTTAGGCTCTGAAGTGATGGCTTACAAGATGATGCAATAAAGTTACATAACATTTTGTAGGCACAGACCTAACAGAATGACATTACTCTAAAGTTGGGGGTCATGGATGTGGAGGAATAGTGAAAGGCGACTAACAAGAACAGAGATGAGTGTGGCACCGGCCTGAGTGTCTGAATGCAACACACAGGCTGCTCAGACAGCAGCAGCAGCCCAGGGCAGCCTGGAAATCTTGAGAGTGAAAAGAAATGGCCGTGTTCCTTTGTCACCACGGTGGACTACTGCAAGGCTCTCTGGGAAACTACACTCCACTGTGTGACTCCGTCCTGTGTCTTCCTGGGAAGGATGTCACACAAACTTCAGAAAATAAAATGAACAGCAGAACTGAAAGCCCCACTCTTGGATCTGAGCAGAAACCATGCGCATTTGGAACACATCTAGGATGCCCCAGACTGGGCACCACAGCATCTGTCTTGCTCCCTTCTGTAAAGAAACACAAACCGGAAGCTGAGAGAAGGGCTGAGGCGATAACCTTACCTGGCGTATAGGATGGGCTGCTTTGTGCATTGCCTCAAGCCACCTGAAAGACAGTGAAATGAGAGGGTCTATCAGTGGGGGGCTATGCAGTGTCCCATAGGGAAGCTTGCTTAACCTGTCCTTCAGGCAGTCCCGAGCTTCAGGGGTATTTCATCACTGCTGGGTGAACGCAACACATTCTTGCAAATATAAAGTTAGTTTGTGGCAAAACCTTATCCCATTAGACGTATCTAAGGCAAAGTTCATGGTACCCACCACTACCCTCATTTGATCAGTGCCTAAGAGAAAATTCGTTCACTGTTTCTGAGGTTTGGAATTTATTAAAAGCAGCATGGCTGTTAACGATCACTTTACTAACCACAAGGCACAGCCCACTAAAATATGGAAATACTGGTGAATGGCTATTGCCTGGACTCCAATCTCAAGTGTTCTTTGCACATAGTAGCTTCATTGCCTTAGTGGTGTTCCATCTGGAGGCCTGAGCTTTTCCAGTCTTGCTCGTTAGCCTGGCATTAGCAGATCCACCCCACCCCAGCCTGTCAACTGCTTTCAGCTTTGTTTCAAACTCCCCAACTTCCAGTGCAAGCACAATGTTGGCTGTTCTCCCAACAGTCCCGTGTATGTCTTTGTCTCCAATCTCACAGCAAACTTCCTGATCTCCTGACTCTTATACTCTTTTCATTCCCCCTTCCACAATTTTCCTCATTTATTACTTTTATGGCCAATGATGGGCTCTTCATTATAAGGATAATCCACAGAAATTTTAAAATAGTGTCTTGGGCATGTTTGGTACAAATAAATACTATGTATTCATTGAGGTAGAATCAAGTTGCTATCATCCCTATTGTCTTTTACTGTATATTTATTAAAATATACAATATTCCACACACAGAGGCAGAATACTTTTTTTCTGATCCAGCACTCCCTGTAAGGTAGCGGGAGGTAGTCATTAGGACTACACAAAAAATTGATGTGCTACCATTTTCCATCGACTTTCTGTTCTACGATCTGCTCTACCGCTCACTTTAGCTCGTCAGTTCCTTCATTACAGTTTTCACTGAACTCACTCAAATGGCCAGCGAGTTCCATTCCCTCAGGGGAATGGAGTGTATATCTAATGGTCAGAACTTTTGCTACCTTTTTAGAGTGCCAAAACATCCTCCCTCTTTGTGGAATATATGCTTGTACAATGTCAATGGAGTCTCTATCCGTCCATCTCATCTCACTAGAGTGTATTGTTCCATATCACGCTTCATTATTTTTATACTACCAGCTATCCATCTTACAGTTTATAACTCTGGCAAGTTGTTAGGAATGAGAGCTATACGCAGGGAGCTTCAGCATTATTGAGGTTTCCTCTTTTAAAGAAGTTAAGGAGAGTTACAGTATTAATGTTAACAGAGTATGCTCATGCTCTTGGGAAATTCTGTTAAAAAATGAAATAATGTCATCCTAAGCTTCTTGTACTTAATAAAACATATGCTACCATATTTTGTTCTCTGTTAATTTCTGCCTCAAGAATATACAAGTCTACTTCTCATGAAATATCCCTGACTGAAAGTAAAGCCAGAAAGTCAGGAGATTAATGCATTACCTTTTCATCTCTTGATTTGAAGTTGCACAGAGGCAAAACATTCTGCTTCCAGACCGAGGCATACAGTTAAACACGAATGGTTTTCCCAAGCTGTTCTCAATGCCAATGTCTGCTCCTTCCAATTTTATTATGTCTAGAGGTGGCCACTTCTCTTCATCCTGTAATTGATAAAGAAGATATTCAGTTACTGGAGAAAATGAAAAAAAAAATAAAGGGAGACCATGATGATTATTTTATATTGATTATTTTTTCCTTAACATAAAAATAAAGTCAAGCTGGGTGTTGGTGGCTCACACCTTTAATCCCAGCACTCAGGAGGCAGCCGCACAGGCAGGCGGATCTCTGTGAGTTTGAGGCCAGCCTGGTCTCCAGAGCAAGTGCTAGGACAGGTTCCAAAGCTACACAGAGAAACCCTGACTCAAAAAACAAACAAACAAACAAAAATAAAGTCAAGCACAATTCACAGATTATCTTTTCTTTAGTATGTAACACAATATTCCAAATTATCTGTTTGTAGTTTTTAAACAGCTTTTGAGCAGCTGTTATGAATGTGAGCTTTATTTATGCCCATTTTGGAAAGTAGTATTAATGCCAGCTTTCCCATCATCAAAAAAGACATCAAAAGAAATCCGTACCACACAATATACACTGTAATGACGTGGCATCCCTAGACAGCACCTGTACTATGAGTTCCATGCTTACTGTGTGCCATCCCTTCTTCCAAATCATTTCATCCACTGACTGACTAGACAAATGCTCATGAGATGGCTTTATAATAGAAAAGTTGATAGTAACACAAAAGGGCTAAAAATAATTTTACAGGTAAATAGTCTTTATTTTCATTTATTTTATAGCTATTTTTTTTTAAAATTCCCTTCATTATTCACATCTCTTTTTACCACCTCTGCATTAAGATGAAACTTTCTTACTTAGCATGAAGTCACTCACTGTACAGTTACATATCATGGATGTTTACTAAATTTATGGAGTTACAAAACCACCCTTGTAATCCAGTTTGGGAATATGTCCATTAACCTCTAAATTGACTTTGAATCCATTGGCAGTCAGTTGCTACCATTTCCCAAATCACAGATCATGTTTTGTGTCCTTATGCATTTGACATTTTTGGATGTTTAATGTGAGCGGGAGCCATATACCTTGTGGTCTTTTTACTTAGTGTGATGTCATTAAACTTCTAAGTTGCAGTACAGATTAGCACTTCCTTATTTTTTTAAGACCGAATTATATTCTATTGTAGGAGATGTGGCAATTTGTTTCTCCATGTGCAAGCTGACAGACATGATTTTTTTTCTGGCATAGGGGCTATTTTGAGTAACACTGCTATGAATATTGTGTACATGTCTTTGGCAATACCGAAATGGATATAAGGATATTCAATTAAGAGTCATATCCCTACTTCTATGGTGTTTTCATGAACTATATCTCAATATTCACTTTTTTAGAGGAAGACTATTAGATCCAGTGACAAGCTCTGCTATTACACAGGTGACATAGCAGCAGGACATGAACCCTGTCTTCCCGCAGGGTCTTTCCATACTGCTTCTATCAAATGTCTGTCCTCTTGATCATTGGGATACAACAGCTGTTGGTTTGGGGAATAAATGATGAATGCTTGTGTGAGAGTCAACACTTTGGCTACTTGGTTACATTTTCAGGAGCATCTTAAGGGTGAATTAGAAATAGAAATAAAACCTAATGAACTTATCCCATTGGTAGGCAACTGATGTGTTCACTGAAAGCAAACACCGCCAAGTCTGCCTTGTGAGGGCCTATTATACAGACTAGATGATGCTGGCCTTAGCCTTAGTATGGCTTGGTCACTCAGGGAATGTCAGGGACCTCCCACATCCTTTGATGCAGGCAGAGGGCCTTTAGTCATTTAAGAGGCTCTTCTCTACTTGCTCAAGTTTCAGGTGTATGGGAAACATGAACAACAATTTAATGGATTGGATTTAAAAGCCAGGGATACTTTCTTTTACAGGCTCTGCACCGCGGCCAAGATGGCATTTTTACTCATCTCAGCTGCTGCCTCATGTCCCCCGCTGATGAGCCAGCTGTGTGCCTGGTGGCAGCTGCAGTGAAGCTTTGGTCATAGAGCATTGCAGCAGGTGTGGGGTCTCCTGCAGCTGTGCTTTCTTAGCTTATGCTTTATCTCAGCTTCACTTGAACAAGAGCCCTGAAAGCCCCCTCTTGGTGAGAACCAGATGTTGAAAAAGAGCCTTCACTGGATCTAACCTAATACTGCCTGCATTGTGGTGTGATGCTCATCAGTCCAATGTTTTCCAGAGATAAAGGACAATTAAAACCCGCCTTCCATTTTACTGTCATGCAAAACAAAACAAACAAAACAAAACCTACTTCTTTAAGCAAAATTCAGTATTTTAGCTTGGCAACGATTATTAAACTGGTTCTGTTTGATCCCTTCCCGAAAGCGCTGCCAAAAGTCTTTCTTAGCTGTGATAGAACAATGAAAATCTCCTCAAGGCTGCATTCCCCACAACTTCGTATTCTTTTGTCCAAGGCACAGAAATCCTCTGGCACTGCTCTCTATTCCCCAGCCAGTTCACAGGTTCAGCTGCTGCCATGTGCAGGATTGATTAAAATAGCATGGATGCTAAGGGGATTGCACTAGGAATTGTTTAGTGATGTCCAGAAGCTACAGAGTGAGAATAAAGGAACTCGGGCTGTTTGTGCCTAAAGACCTTGGGCAACATTGGGGTTGTCTATCATGGAAATAATATCTTTTACAAAATGAATTCCAAAGGTCAGAGTGTTCAGAAACGGGGAACATCAAGCAATAATGATGACAATAATCCAACATACAGTGAATGCACTTCTGAAATAGATTATTTTAATGGAGATGAATAAAGACAATGGCATTTGTGTGTTTGTGGTGCTTTCTGTTGAATAAAACTATCTACAGGTGCCTTTGAATTTTTGCTTTGGTCAAAACTTTGGTTTGAATATGATAGGAATTTGTTGTTGCCAGGTCTCCTCATCTTGGAAAAACAAAACAACCAACTCAGGACACTGTGTGTATGTTTCATTTACCCTGACAACCCAGACTTTTAAGAAGGTAGGGAAAGGCATCTTTAACCATGGGAAGGAGATAACTCTCAGTGGAGAAAAAGCAGAGCAAAGACAAACCTAGACAGAAAGAAAGACTATAACTAAGAGGAGCACCCATGAAAAGGTGAAACAAATGCAGAGCTGAGAAGCTTTGGAACTTGAGGGTTGGAACAAAGTTGAGGAGTGTCCACCAGAGCTTCATTAATGACACCAGCACCCTTTACCCTTTAAGTGGCCTCTTGGAGCACCTTTTTCCTTCCAGCAACTGAAGCCATCCTTCTTTGATGGTCATGAGAAGATGCTTATGACTGACCATGCCGTAGGATCAGAGGAGAAGTAACGGGCATGCGTGAGAAGGAAGGAGAGAAGAGGAAGGCTTTCAAAGCTGTGCCTCTGTGCTTCTTAGTATTGTGGAAAAGAAGTCAGGACTCTTGAAGAACTACAAGCCCTTTCCTAGATTATTTGAGTTTGTTTATGTATGCATTTATTTGTTTGTGCTTCATTTCCCCCCTCCAGGCAGGCAAGACAGGATGGAAATGACAGAAAACAGAAAGTCAAAGGAACATGAAAATCACACCCTTGTTTATGAGTAATAATAGTTTCCCAGTTAAAGCTTCGTGATTTTGACATTCACGTTTTACCACTCACCCGTTTGAGCAGAAGTACGCCCATAAGGTATTTAATATTTCCATAGAGCTATGGCTCTTTTCCTGTTTTTTTTTTTTTTTTTAATAAATTCCCTGGCTGCAGATGTGACATCAACAGAGGTAACTAGCTGCCAACTGAGAAATTTGTGCTTTCTTTTTCAGTTTCCCTGAGGTGGGGAATCAGGTTTTCAGTGTGATAAATACAGGCTGACTACATCATGTTATTTCCTGGCAGCAGCACAATTCCAGGTTCCAGGAGGCCCTGGGAGCCCTTGTAACTATAGGATCTTGTCATCATGGGAGCCCTTGCAGCTAAAGGAGCTTGTTGTTATTGGACAAACCCTGATGCTATGCCCAGACAAACAGGTTTCTTCTTGAAAGTTAGCCAAGGGGAGGGTTGCCAACAGTATTTTTGTTTGGGTTACCGACTCTACAGCTTTGATGAGAAATTTATGTTCTCCACTGGATAGCTCAGATGTTACCTTTATCTTGGCTTCTAAATTACACTTAGATGCATACCCATCACCATATAATACTTATCATTACAAAAGGAGACTGAGGACTGGGTATGGTGGCATATGCCTCCAATTTCAGTACTCAGCGTGAAGACAAGATTACCATGAGACTGAGGCTAATCTAGACTACACAGGGAGTCGAAAGAAAACCTGAGGTGTATAGCAAGACCTTGTCTCAACACCCACACTATTAAAAAAGAAAAGGCTGTGAAGTGATGAAACTGAATTAATGGCCTGAAAGTTATGGGTAAAACAAAGGCATTCTGTATCATACGCTCTTTTATGAAATGCTTGTTTTAAAGTGTCCTGTCTAAATGCACAATAGGGCCTACCCATCCTCAAAGGATATATTCCAAAGACTGCAGGGGCTGTATGACACAGAGAGTGCTGGACCCCAGTAACTAACATTACCCTGCAATGTGGCCATAAACTGCAAGACCTAGTTGATTTCTTGGTTTCATGTCATTCATTTGCCTCTGTACTTCTACACATTATGGACATAATTAACTGAAGTAATAAGCACAAAAACCATGACACTGTGACAGGTGATCTGATCATTGAAATGGCTCCTGACTAATAGGGGGTAGTATATAGAGTCATGCTTTATGTTTAGGGTGGGCTACAGTGCGATGGTAAGATATATTACATTGACTCGAAAAGGTTTGCAGTAAAGACATGAGTTATTTGCTTCTGGAATTTTCCATTTAGGTATTTTTTTTCTTCACAGTTGACCATAGGTAATAAAAATACTGAAAGCTCAGAAAGTAAAATCACAAGTAAAAGGGACTATCATGCTATATATCTTGTAGAGGGACTCTACAGCGCGCGGGGGGGGGATTTGAATCCTTATTATACTGCTCAGGGAGTCACTTCCATGACTTGCTAATGACTTCATAATCACCCCGA